TTACCCCAAGTCAGGGGGTCTTTTGACCACGGCACATCTGTCACCAAGTGGAACTGTAAATGGGGCTTCGGGAACTTGACCCCAGATCGCCGTCTTTTCCATGTCTGCAAAGCCCCCTCTCAATCTGTCCTGAGAGTCAAGCACAAGGCTGGCCGGCACTGCTTTGCAGTTTCTGTACATTGAAAGTGGCACCAAGTCTGTACAGGAGAGCCATTTGTGCTGCGCCGCTTAGGGCTGAACAAAAGCGTGCATGGCAAGCAGCTCTACATCATACTGCGTTGCTGTCTGAATTGGTCATCTCAAATTCGTGCCTGGGCCGTGCGCTGTCAATTGGACTCTCTTCCAACCAAGGATGAATTCACAACATTTCAGGTCTGGAAATGCACTGTCTGGATTTACACCATCTGGGAATGGTCTACCAAATGCCGACAAACAAGTGCATCGTTCCCAGATACGCATGCTTCCTTTGATCTTGACCGACATGAACAAATAAGCCAGCCTCTGCGGCCTATAGCTGTCTTTCAGCCTTACTTTCTCCACACATTGCGTGCATCCTTCATACCACCAGCGCAATTTGCAGGCCAGGGCACACTCTATCTTCACTTGCTGCGTCCACACAAGCCTAGATCGGCGGGCAAATCGCTGATGGCAAGAATGAACCATGGACAGTGGCAAGGAGAAATCATGGGCGATTGCACCTGGGTATGCTGCCACTGGCGTTGCAATTCTGGATCGTGCATGCGCGCGTGAGTTGTCTATGTATGTGTATGCGTGCGCTGTGCGCATTCGCTTGCCAGCACATGCTCTTGTGAGATTGTATGTCTGTCTGTTTCTATTTCTGCCAATGTGTATCTGCATCTGTGTGCAGGTTTGTGTGTGTGTGTGTGCATGCGTGCGTGTGCGTCTAGATGGGTGCATGGGTTGTGCGCATGGCGTATGTGTGTGTGTGTTGGCTGTGTTCTGGGTACCGTACGCTGCGTGCTGTAAACATGCACACCAGCGCACCACATGCGCACTGGCGCGCGCAGGCACTCACGCACAAGCACAAGCGCGCACACACACACACACCCGCGCGCGTGCACGGACACGAGCACAAAATCATGATAACACAACATGCAACACGCACGTGCACCTGCCCCATGTATATATATATATATATGTGGCGCCCCCCTGGAAAACCCAGGTGTTTGGCCGGAAATTGATGTTTTGTCTGTAAAAATGCATGCAAAACACACGTTCCAGCTTCTAAAATGAGGCTCTAAAAGTGCACTCCTTTTTAGACTTAAATTCTAGCATCGGTACTTAGTGCAACCCAGGATGTGCTAGAACGTGCTAGCACATCCTGGGCTGAAGATTGAAGATTCTCCACTTGTTCTGGAAATCTTCAATCCATCCTTAGGAACAACTGATTTGTGCTAGCACGTGCTAGCACATATCAGTTTGTCCTAATTTCCAGAACAAGGTGGTCTGAGAATCTTCAGTCTTCAATCTTCAATCCAGCAAGTGCTAGCACATCGTGGATTGCCCTAAGTACATATTTAAAGAGCTGTCAGAGAATCTTCAACCTTCAATCCAGATCCTGGATTGCCCTAAGTGCGGATTTGAAGAATCCAAAAGGCAGATTATCAGAATCAAATTGTGGATGTGCGCTTGCGCTGCCTGCATTTGGCCAGGGGGAAAAATGTCGTCGACACCTTTACAGTCTTGTGGGCTTGAGGGCTGGCCAGGATGAAGGATTCTCAAATAGAAAATCTGGTAGATCTAAACATATGTTTGTGGATTCTTGTATATTCGATCTTCGATCCAGGGCAACACGATCTCAGCAAATGCTGAAAACACTGCGTTTTACAGCATTTATGCAAATAACAAGATCTATGATTGAAAACACGCTCCTGTCATTGGCTTGGCTCAGTTCTTGCTCGGTTCAATCGACATGGAGTTCGATAAGGACAAGAATCCGTTCAAAATTGAGCTTGATTCCAAATTCATTTGGCCATGACAATAGCTATCTCCAGTTGACTTTTGAAACGCACAAGAAACTGCAAACGAGTAAACTTGATTTTTTGGAACTCGAAAGAGTTTTAAACTGGATATCCTTCCCTCACTTGAATTTCAATAGTGGTTATTGGCGATGAGTGAACCAACTTAGACAAGCAACACACACACACATGGGATAGTTGCTTTGCAACATGTTTTCAATCAGACTGAACTAGCATGTACATGGAATTATGCGCACCACTCGAATTAACATGTAAACGCAACTGCGCAAGAACATGAAGTTGGATTGAGTTTGCTGAGTTTCGCTGCCAAAAAGTACTAAACACAAAATAGTAGAGCTGCTACAGGCGCGTTGAAGCTTCCAATACACACTTCGCGCACTACTCTTGTGCTGGACAGTTGTGCTTTTTGAGCTGGAGCTGCCAAAGTGCACTTTGCATACTCCCATGTGTCTTTAAGTGCAATTTGCGCACGCCAATCTGACAGTCACACAACTCGCAACTCCTATTCAACGTTGAGCTTAACTTCTGCCTGGTTGGAATTTGCATGGAGGTGAGCGTCCAGTCAGTTCATTTCAGAGTCTCAAGGCATTTGTCACCCCCAGTCTGGCCAAAATTCAGTTGGAGGGGGGGTAGCATACATATATGTATATATATATATATGTGCTTCCCCCCCACCATGGAGACTGGTTTTCATGCTTTTTGGGGATGGCAAATCTAGAATCTCGAAATGTGTATTCTCGAAATGTCCAGCTGTGGCTCCCCGAAGCCTGATTTGGAGCCCGGAGTTCTCCATAATGTCCCAATATGATACGCTTTCCAAATAGGATTTTACTTCAACTACAATTGGAATTGTGAATATAGTTTAGTAAGGATATAGTTTTCAAACATGTGTTTATGTTCAATTACAGCTTAGATATGCAAATCCTTTTCAAATAGGAGCTACATGAAAATGTGAATATAGCTTCGGGTAAACTCCAACTAATCGTTAACAAAACAAGTTAGATAGGAGGTTCTTCTCAAATACAACCTAAGTGTTAAATATGATCTAATACGAACACAATTCAATTTGCTTTTGATAATAACAATTAAATAGAGAATACTTCTCAAGTAAAATTCATAATAAATATGGCTAAACATTTAGGGGACGTCTACAAGGAAATTCAAAATATGTTTTGTGTTATTTACATTCTGGCCCTTTTGCAGCATAAGAAAGGTCCGACATTGAACTTGTTAGACGGTCCCAGGGAAGAGAGGCTCAAATTCTAAGACTATCTCGAAACAGGGGTTCTAGCTAAATCACTTGTATTTAAAATTCTATTTGCACAGGAAACAAAATTCATTATATCTCAAGAGGTGGAGGTAGTAGATGAGCAAATGGACAGGTAGTTCAAGAGGGGGGGTGACGGTGTGTGAATGTACATACATATGTACATCTATATATGCACATACATACACATACATATAGCACCCCTAATGATCCTGGGCCCCTTTATAAAACAAACTGGAAAATACGGTGGTTTTGAGCATTACACCTACCTTAATTTACCTCCTGGAACAAGGTCAACATGAGCATAGCTGACATGAAGCTCACCAAAGCACTTGAAAGCTTGTTTAGCCAATAACTTGAAGGTGTTTCCACTGGATCGCTGAGCACTTGAAAGTATTCTGCCGCTGGATGGAAGATTCAAGATGGAAGATTACACAGAAAACTCTCCTGAGAATTGTCAATCCTGGACAAACCCAAACGACATTCAAGTTCTTCTAACACTTGAAAGTGCTTCACCACTGGGTTGAGGATTCAATATTGAGGAGCGCAGAAACAACAACTGTCCCGAGAACCATCCATCCTGGTCAATCCCTGAAAATGGTCAAGTTGTTCTAACACCTCGAACGTATTTTACCACTGGAGTGAAGATTCGAGATTGAAATATGTCACGGAAACTCTTCCGTAAACGACCCTGGAATTTGTTTAAACCAAATCCTGGATTCAAGACTCAAGATTCCCAGAAAATATTCTCTCAGATTCTTGAATCTTGAATCTTAATCCAGAATCAAGATTCAAGATTTCCAGAAAATATTTTTTCAGATTCTTGAATCTTGAATCTTGTGTCAAAAAAACTGAGTTGTTCTTGTACTCTTGGATGCATTCAAACTCTTTCAGATTGCAGACGCTGATGTCATTGCTTTTATCACATCTGTCTGCATGCATGCATATTGTATATGAATATGGCACCCCCCTAATTTTGACACAAACCCAAGAAACAAAAAAGCATAAAACACATGGAAATACTGGTCAAACACACCAAACCAGGGTCCATGGGGGGGGGTTACCATATATATATATACATATATATATATATGTGTATATGTGTATACAAGTATATATGATATATATATATATATACATGCGTAACGCCATTCTGTTCAGGCTCCTGCACCTGGGCGTACAGAATGAGACCTGCTTGTGAGACTCAGAAATAATCTTGGGTTCCTCATTGTCGATTCTGATAGTCAGACTTTAGTGGTTTGATGTGAGTGCCCTGCATACCTCCAAGTCAAACGAGCAGTGCTCCGCCCGCTCTGCCATGGCACAGCGGCAAGGGCAGCAAAAGATCCAGCAGCACAGCTCCTCAGCTGATGACACACTTGATCCAAGTGGCACAGTGGGGTAGAACTCCCAAGACCCATGAAACGTTAAGGACATCTGCATTTATAGGCTTAAGAATGTGACCAAACACAAAGGCAGGCAAAGCTCAAGCGACACACAATTCTGGAGTGCATCAAATGTCTGACACGCAAGCTTCCGATTTCTTCCAGGGTATGTCAAATTCGAAACTCGCAGGCTGCACATGCCGACAAGGGGGGGGAGGGAGAACAAACGGACAACTCCCCAACTCCTGTACACCCCAACCCCCCAACCCCCCACCACCACCCCACACCCCCGACCGTCCCCCAACCTCTGCACCCAACCGACCCTCCTCCCCCCCCCCAAAACCACCAAAACCGATGCCCAAGGCGCAGCGCCCAGCTTGGCGAAGCAGCTCACGCAGCAAGCGCAGAGCACCACCAGGCCCAAGGCCAAGAGCGGCCAACCCCACCAAGGCATGCCGTCCCTGGAAAAGAAACACCAGCTGACGTCGGCGCGTCCTTTTGGGTTTCCCCAGTTTTTGCGAACCCACAAATCTAGAAGCGGCTGTGAGTGTTGGAGAGTTGGAACCACCAGCCAAGTGGTTGGTGGGCATGAATCCTCACCAACTTCTGTCCGCCAAAGATAGCTGCTCACTCCCATAGAATTCATACACTCTATCAAACCCCGATGGCATCTGATTCTGGCAACTCGGGCGACCTAATGCCTCCAATGGCCAGTTCCCATGGGAAGCCTTGAGACGTGTGCCTTTAAAAAAACCCTTCGACCAACTTCCCAGTGCCTCACTTCGACCCAGCTCTTCTCCACCTTGCCCTGGCAGCATTCCTTCATCGCATCGGACCTGAGGCGGGTCCGATGTACGATGAATCCCCATTGCAACTGGTTTTCGCCAGCTGGATTGTTGCACCAACACACTTTCCGAGCCACGCACACACACACACACACACGCAAACGCACGCACACATGCACACACATGCACACATATGCACACATATGCACATACACACAAACACGCACACATAGACAGACATACGCACACACACACACGATTTCCCATCATATATGTTCTTCATTGCTTTGGTCATGCTCGCGCGACTGCTGTGTGTGTGTGTGTGTGTGTGTGTGTGTGTGTGTGT